ACGTCTCCTCCTTCTTGATCCAGCAAGGGGGAAGGAGAGGTTAATGAAGATCCAGCAGCACGACGGCGTGGTGGTGGATGCAGCAGCAATCTCGGCAAGGCTTCGCCAAGCTTCAGCGAGAGGGAGAGGTGTAGCAGGGGAAGAGGGAGGCGCCAAGGGCATGGGTGCGGCTGCCCTCCCTCCCCCCTCTTTATATAGGCCCCCTAGGGGGCCGCAGCCCTAGGAGATGCAATCTCCTAGGGGGGGGCGGCGGCCAAGGGGGTGGCTTGCCCCCCAAGGCAAGTGGAGGCGCCCCCCACCCCTAGGGTTTCCAACCCTAGGCGCAGGGGGGCCCAAGGGGGGGCGCACCAGCCCACCAGAGGCTGGTTCCCCTCCCACTTCAGCCCATGGGGCCCTCCGGGATAGGTGGCCCCACCCGATGGACCCCCGTGACCCTTCCGGTGGTCCCGGTACAATACCGATAACCCCCAAAACTTTCCTGATGGCCGAAACTTGACTTCCTATATATATATCTTTACCTCCGGACCATTCCGGAACTCCTCGTGACGTCCGGGATCTCACCCGGGACTCCGAACAACTTTCGGGTTGCTGCATACCCATATCTCTACAACCCTAGCGTCACCGAACCTTAAGTGTGTAGACCCTACGGGTTCGGGAGACATGCAGACATGACCGAGACGCCTCTCCGGTTAATAACCAACATCGGGATCTGGATACCCATGTTGGCTCCCACATGCTCCTCGATGATCTCATCAGATGAACCATGATGTCGAGGATTCAATCAATCCCCTATACAATTCTCTTTGTCAATCGATATGTTACATGCCCGAGATTCGATCGTCGGTATCCCAATACCTCATTTAATCTCGTTACCGGCAAGTCACTTTACTCGTACCGTAATGCATGATCCCGTGACCAGACACTTGGTCACATTGAGCTCATTATGATGATGCATTACCGAGTGGGACCAGAGATAGCTCTCCGTCATACGGAGTGACAAATCCCAGTCTTGATTCGTGCCAACCCAACAGACACTTTTGGAGATACCCGTAGTGCACCTTTATAGTCACCCAGTTACGTTGTGACGTTTGGCACACCCAAAGCACTCCTACGGTATCCGGGAGTTGCACAATCTCATGGTCTAAGGAAATGATACTTGACATTTGGAAAAGCTCTAGCTAAACGAACTACACGATCTTTGAGCTATGCTTAGGATTGGGTCTTGTCCATCACATCATTCTCCTAATGATGTGATCCCGTTATCAATAACATCCAATGCCCATAGTCAGGAAACCATGACTATTTGTTGATCAACGAGCTAGTCAACTAGAGGCTTACTAGGGACATGTTGTGGTCTATGTATTCACACGTGTATTACGGTTTCCGGATAACACAATTATAGCATGAATAACAGACTATTATCATGAACAAAGAAATATAATAATAACCATTTTATTATTGCCTCTAAGGCATATTTCCAACATGTGCTCCCTAGAGCGATCAATTGCGAGGCAGAGATCTCGGCTTTTACAGCTGCGGGAAGGCGATGGAAACACCAGGTTATTCCACTAGCAAGCCAGCCACATGCAGAGGAAGAACATAATCAGAGTGGTTAGCCATAACAGCCAACTCTACTTGGGGCAGGATGAGGTGGCTTTGGCCGTTGATGCTTACTATGGGGCAACTTTTGGCACTTTGACTCCGAGGGAGCATACGATCAACTTGGCGGTGCTTGATCTTCCACGGTTAAACCTTGAGCATCTAGAGCAGCCATTCACAGAGGATGAAGTAGAAGGTGTGATCAAAGCCATGCCATTGGATAAAGCCCCGGGACCGGATGGGTTCACAGGTAGATTCTATGCAACATGTTGGAATATCATCAAACATGATTTCATGAAAGCAATGACCCGCTTCTACAATGGTGATTGAGGGGTGTGGTGGCAATCAATAAATCCTTTGTCACTCTACTGCCAAAGAAAGATGGGGCTTTGGATGTGGGTGACTTCCGGCGATTAACCTAGTTCATGGGGCAATCAAGATCTTTGAGAAGGTTCTTGCGTGCAGACTGGTGGAGGATATTCCTAGGCTCGTGGGGAACCACCAAAGTGCATTTGTAAGAGGGAGAGCACTACATGACAACTTCATGCTGGTGCAAAGCATGGCACGCGCCTCAATGCCCTTAGAAACCATTCGGTTTTGCTAAAGCTTGATATTTCAAAGGCTTTTGACTCAGTAAGATGGTCATTCCTATTGGAGGTTCTTCAACAGTTAGGTTTTGGGCCTCGATGGAGAGCATGGATTTGTGGCATTCTGGCTACGTCGACTACCAAAGTCATGGTTAATGGCGACCCCAGTGACACTATTTTTAACTGCAAGGGGCTACGCCAAGGTGATCCGATCTCGCCGATGTTATTCATCCTCACAATGGAGCCACTATAAAGATTATTTGAATTTGCAGAGAGAAGAGGAGCCTTGGCACCGCTGGCTCAGGTGGGCATGAGGAAAAGACTGCCCACCTTTGCGGATGACGTGGCCTTGTCCGTCAAGCCAAATCAGAGGGACCTTGAAGTATGCAAGTGCATTTTTGAGCTGTTTGGGGAGGCATCCGGCCTTTGAATCAACATGAATAAGTCTGTTGCACTACCGATTAGATGTTCAGAGTAGGAGATCTCCATGGTTTGCACTCAGCTTGGCTGCCCCCTCGGATCGTTTCCTATCAAGTACCTTGGGCTCCCTCTATCTTTGAGGAAGCAAATGGCAACACAATTGCAGTACCTGGTGGATCAAATGGCCAATAGGCTACCAAAGTGGAGGGCTGCCCTCATGCCAAAAAGTGGGAGATTAACCTTGGTCCATTCAGTTTTGCGTGCCATGCCTATTCACGCCATGATGGCCTTGGACCTGCCCATGAAAACGATTGCGGCGATGAATAAGGTGTGTAGGGCCTTCCTGTGGTGCAGACGGGCAGAGGCCAACAGCGGGAACTGTGCGGTTGCATGGGAGACGGTGTGTGCACCAAAATGGGCAGGTGGACTTGGGCTGGCGAACTTGCGGTGGATGAATGTGGCCATGCAAGCTAGATGGCCCTGGCTCATGAGGACGGACGCAACCAGGCCATGGAATGAATTTAAGATCAGAGTGCCCGATGATTCGATGCACCTCTTTCAGGCTGCTACAAGGAGTATAGCTAACAATGCCCTCACGACGCTCTTTTGGGAGGACCGCTGGGCGCACAGGTGGAGAATACAAGGAATCGCCCCCATTGATCTATGGCAAGATTCCACCACTGATAAAGGCATCCAGGACGCAGGCAAGCTATGGAGGATGGATCATGGGCATTGGATATTGGCCTAAACATGGATCCAGAGGCACTACATGAGTTCCTCGAGTTATGGCGGAGACTTGGACATGGGAGCCTACGGAGAACGTGTCAGATGACGTAGCTTGGTCATGGGAGGCCAACGGGCAGTTCTCGGTGCGCTCGGCGTATGCGAGCAGTTTCTGGGGCAGGGAGGTGAGCCCTACGGCAGCTCTTACATGGAAATCGCGAGCACCCATGCATTGCCGCTTCTTTACGTGGCTAGCTCTACGGAATAGATGCTGGACTTCGGATCGCCTAGCACGACGAGGGCTGCCACACCAAGACGCGTGCCCTTTTTGTGACCAGGAAGAGGAAACGATTAATCACCTGCTACTCACTTGTGTGCTTACAAGGACAGTGTGGACTGAGATCTGTGAGGCCTTGGAGCGGCCGGATTGGGTGCCGTCTCAGCATGATTCCCTGACCCCTTGGCTAATCAACAAGCAAGGGCCGCACAACATGACCATCAAAGATCTTCGCACCATCCTAGGGCTCACAATGTGGGAGATCTGGAAGCACATGAATGTTGTAGTGTTTGACGGTGCACGGCCGTCCGTTGACTTGTTGTTGCGTTGTATTAGACTAGAGGGATTGCCGTGGGTGTCGGCGGGCCTACTGAAAGGGAATGTAAACCCCTTTTTTAGTAGGCTAGCAATGCGGGAGAGTCGTGAGTAGTGTAATATGTTGTTATTGTAACTATAGTGGAAGCACCTTTTGCCTTTCTTCTTCAATATATGATCGTGCATATTCGAGAGAAAAAAATATACACACGTGCACTTATCCCTATAAACGAACACATGAAAACCTACCCCTACGAGCACTTTGAAAAGACTGAGCCGATATACCATCTTTAGATTGACGAAGTCAGCATAGAAACGTCTCCTCTCACTGAATGCGTACTGCCGAAAATTCTGAAATAAATTCAGTACAGTGTGTGCATCAGGACTTAATCCTGATCGGCTTGGAATACCACTGCCTCCTAACCATCCAAACTTTCCATTTCTTAGCAGTTGATCATGCTGAGATAAGACTTTCCATTTTTCGGCAGCTAAGAGAAGACTTTCCGAACTTGTACACTGCGGATCACATCCACGATCGAGACTCACACGCATGCACAAGCCTTAATTATCCCCACGCGCACTCTTGGCACACCTAGCCTTTAAATGCAATGTTTATCCCTAGCAATTAACCACTCCCATTCAATCAGTTCAACTCCCACGCGCGCGTTATGTATGGGCGCTCCTTGATCCGACGGCCCACAGGAGCGTTGGCAACGAGCATCCATCGATCCGACCGTCTGTCGAGGAGCGATACGTGCCGAAACTCGGATTTGGATGACGACGATCGCCTTCCTTTTCCACCTTCCTCACCCATCCAGTCTGACCACCAGGGGTTCAGAATTCTGGCGTTGCGCCCACGGAAACCTTTAGTGCCATGCATATCCCGCAATTCTCTCTCTGTCCGTTCTCCTTTCCATTTCCACCGCCGTTATCCATCCAGCCCATCGCCCCCTGGCTCCTCGCGATCTTCTTGCACATATAAGCAGGACCAAGATGGCCTGCTCCTCTTCCACCTGTGGCGATAGCACACTGCGCATTTCGTTGCCTGCTTGGTTCATGTGTTACTAGGCCAGGGCTTCATGGGCGAGTTCCGTGTAGGCGGACGACGTCGAGGAGGTGAAGACGTTGTCCCCGGCGCCGCCGACGCCGAGTCGATGGGGGCCAGCTCGGATTCCGGCGCGTCCAGCGGATCGCTGTGCTCGTCGATCATGTCGAGCCTGACAGACGACGACGCAGAGTCCTCCCCGGTGGCGGGTGATCCTACGCCGTCGCCGCCGTCGGACACGATGCAGCTGGACGGGGGAGGCGGCGGGCCTCTCTACGAGCTGTCGCCGCTGCTGGCGCACCTTCCCGTCAGGTGCGTGGATCGACGTCCAAAAGCCACAGCATACTTGTTCCCAACCAAATCAATCAAAACTGACAAAATAAACAATTCACTTCTCACAGGACAGGGCTGTCTAAGTATTACAAAGGGAAGTCCCAGTCATTCACTTCTCTTTCCGACGTCAAATGCTTGCAAGATCTCGCAAAGAAGACCACCGCCCACACCGGCAGGAAGGCGAGCCGTTCGTCGATTTCACTTCACGTTCAAGGGCCTCACAGCAAGACGATAGGGAAGAAGACACCGCCCAGGGGTTCATCTGGCCGGCTGCCGTCAAGAGCATGGAGCAGGGGCCTTCCGCACAGAAGCGGTAAACCGCCTGCGTACCAGAGCAAGAAAGAGCTGTGCAGCAGAGATTTCTGCTAGCTAAAGGCAATGCAAGGTTTTGTAACATGGGGCGAGATAATGTTTCTGCTAGCTAAAGGCACCGGAGGAAGAAAGAGTACCCCCAAGATTCCATGTCTTCGTCTGCCAGTAGAGATTTCTGCAACTGAAGCTCTTGGGAGCATGTTTTGCTTCTATTTTCATCCGTGACCAATATTAGTGATAACTGCATATGCTCGGTCTAATGATTCCGAGGACAATTTGCTGAGACTGTACTGACAACACAAACCCATTATTGTAATAAACAGAGTCTATGTGACCCAGCACAATGCATATTCAGACATTTGGTTAGTTAGCAATGCCTGAATACACAACGTTTGGCACTTTCAGCTAGCAGTAATCAACAAAGCTTAATGTAGTCCAGCACAATGTGATGTTTATTTAACTGAAATCTCATCTGTAGATCTCAGTACAACTTGTGGTGCAATTTTTGAATTTGTATAACCAATCCTCTCAGGCACAACACAGAAACAATGCACTTCTGAGCAATATATCCATAGACATTAGTGGCAACTGGCAAATTCATTGGTACCCAACCAGCGACTGACGTGATTGATTCAAGAATTCTTTACAAATTAAGGCCGCCAACTTAAACAACTTTGAGAGTGGGGCCATAAAAATGGTTGTAGTGTTGTACAAGAAGAATAGCTATTTTCTCCAGCGCCGCCAATAAAATCAACTGATGAAGTACATTGGATTTGGAAGCTTAAAGGACCTCGTTGCCATTGGCAATCCTATCAGGTCACTCCATTGATCCCCAGAGTTTCCAAGTATCTTGAATCCTTCCGCTTCCATTGCAGCTCGCCTCTCTGATTTGTACTGCACAGCGGTCTTGCCAATATCAGAGATTTGCCTGCAGCATGTGTATACAGTATACTTCCGATTAATACAAACTGGCTATGGTACAAAATGGAGTAATTATTTTTAATGCCTGCACTTTCCTTTTGTGTATAGTGAGAGCACAAGCACAAGTAAAAAATGGGAAAAGAAAACTTAGGTAAAACTAGATGGTTACACTGTAGACTGTACCACCTCTCTTTTTTATAGCCGCATTATATCTATATGCAACTCAAAGTCGGAGAAAGATGGTTAACAGCCTAACTTCAAAATGATCCACTAACGATTCTAAATAAAAAAATCACTACAATGGCAATATAGAAAATCAAAGTACAGCAGAGTTCTATGTGTGATAGAATTTTGGCAACACTCCTTACATTGAACATCATTCAACACATTGCTAGAAGTTAAATTGTGATACAATTCATTGGGAGCTTTCTATGGACTAGCAAAGTAACAATCATCCGCGTGCAGTGCACATTTACCGCAATATATGTTGTACTAGAAATTATAATAATGCATGGGTCAAACTATATTTACAATGTAAGTACTCATTATTGAAATTACTTTATATCATGTAAACTAATCATAGGAAGAAAGAATAAGCATTAAACCTACACTAAACCATGAGCTATGTACCTAGAATTAACATGTCGATACTTGATTGGTTAGGGGATTTATTATTTTGAACCAGCAACAAAATATACAATTATTGGAGGAGAGATTAGGAGGTAGGATTCCAGCTAATTCTTAAGTCCTTGGATCTGTGATTAACATATTATGAACAAGACAAATGGCTAAGATTGTTTGGATCAAACTCTAACTAGTATTCCCTCTGTCCCAAAATAAGTGTCTCAACTTTAGTATAACTTTGTACTATAGTTAGCTGGAATAACAAGTTGACTTAATAACAAGTTGTTTTCGGGGAAGCCTCCTGAAGTTCATACCATACTGAGTGACCATCTCCAGGATATTATTTGGAAACTAGGGTCTTCCAGAAACTTCTTGGATCCAAGCAAGATGGCGTCTTATGCAAAAAGATAGTCATTTGATACATGAGTTGTAGCAAATACCTCAGTATGAGTTTTTCCCATGAATGGTAGCCCGCAAACAAGAGATTTTCCTCTGTAGCATTTCGCTGCAATTCACTTCGTCCAGTCAAGAGGATAATATGGAAACCAAGTCCTTGCAGTTCATTGTACAGTTTCAAGCTAGATGGTAATGCAGGTGCTTTCGCTATGTCTACCCATGCATCAAATGAGGTCTCGTTGAATTCCTGTAATCTGCAAAATCAGTGGAGCTGTGAAAAAATGATGTAGCAATTTTTATCAATAGAAACTACAAAGTAGAATATCCTTAATATTATCACATCATCTGCCCTTTTCGAAAATTTGGAAATTAAGAAATGATACATGTTTCAATCATACTCCTTGGATATTACTGTAGATTCTACAGCCCACACTGACCCGGTTGCTACGAAACTGGAGATTGCTTCACCATGACTTCGAATTGCTGGTGATGGATATTGAGAATTTTGAGCAGAAAGATAAGGCGCCGCTGATGTTTGGGTGGCTCTGAAGAAGAAAAGGGGAATAAATGTGGAGATCGTTGCTTCGAAAAGGAAAGGAGGGGATATAATCTTGCAGTCTGCAGCATGCGTTGCTGGAAGAGCCAGAAAGTCTGAGCCAGATTGCTGTGAAATCCAACACTTAATTTAATAGGCTTAGGTGTTGATAATTTTGTTGCTAAAATGTGGTTTCCAGTTAGTTATTTGAGCCCTGTTTTCTTTTTCAAACAAAATGCAGATAACCCTACTATAGTTTGTTTCTTGCAATGAAGGTGTATCTCGGGCAATGATGTGCATGCCCTTCAGGTAAAACAAGATTGCAAACGGAAGAAATGTGATTATGCTGTCCTTTCGTAAGAGACAAATCTGCAAACGCTCAAGAGAACAGGCTACCAGTCAGGTACTGTTTTGTCAGGCTTCAGACAAATTTACACCTATAAACTTAAAAACACAAGCATATCAAACAATACTTGAGACGAAAGATCTAAAACCTACTCACAAATTATTAAGGTAGTTATGAGTTCACACAAATTCTCATGGAATCCAATGAATTGCCAATCTCAAATGCAGGAGCCAATAACAGCGACTGATTAATCGGAGCACGCACAATCAATGCAATCGGAAAAAACAGAGCTGGGGTCGGGGTCAATTACCCCCATCCGCTGACGGCGTAGTAGGGTGCGTTGGAGAGCAGCGTCTCGTCGACGTCGAACACCCACGCCGGCATGGCTCCCCCCACGCCCGACGCGAATGCCTGCGCAGCGAAGGCGAGGGATTCGGCGGCCGCGACGGCGGAGTCGGACGCGTAGCGCTCACCCTCCATGTACGCGCGCACGGACGCCCCGCAGCGCGCCGGCACGGTGCGCCAGGGGCCCGCGTTGGCCGTCTCCACCGACAACCTCCAGCTGTCGCAGAAGAGCGCGTCCGCGTCGGAGACGCCCGAGGACACGGCGGTTGGGACGTCCGTGACCTGGCGGAGGACGGACTCGGCGCCGGCGACGACGACCGCCGCTGCGGCCGCGAGAACGAGGAGGATGCGACGCATTGTGGGCGGCGATTGGCTAGGTATCTGGCTCCACCCCGGTTCGGGCTTCGCCGTCGGCGATGGATGGCTTTGCTCGATTTGGCGATTACCGGAGAGGTTGGACGGGCGCAAGGTGCCCCATGGGAATCTTTGGCTAGTATATTGGCGTGTCGCCGTGGGGCACCGTGACTGAATTTCGAGGGACCCGCAAGGCCGCAACTTGTCCGTTTGACGGAGGATGGCCCCACAGATTTCGAGGCCCAGTTGTCAGTCACGTTTAGATTATCTCAATAATTCCTTCGTCTCTGGCACAGTTTTCTTTTCCTTGTTGTCAGAGCATTTTGCAAATCCGTCCTCCCATACGTCGACAGCGGTCCACACACAAAAATAAAATTTATTTGTTTCAAAAATACATAGCCCAAACTTAAAATTTGTTCAAGGTGCTTGATTGAAACATAAAGAATAGTTCAATGATTTCTAGCATGGATCCACATGTGCTGTACAAGATTGTTGAAAAGTTACTACATATGCCCCTGTTGATCTCAAAGTTGTCGATGCATTTCAAGAAAATCGGCAACACGCTTCGCCTCTTGTTCCGCGAGACGGACTTGAACTTGGCCGGAGGAGTTGCACGTACCGGGGCGGCATCCGGTGCCAGCGAATTAGTCCGATGGCGGCATGGTCGGTGGCGTTGTGGGTTGGGCCTCCGGTGACGGCGCTGTGGGTTGGGTATGATGGCAGAGCTACAATGGCGTCTGTGTGGACGAAGCAGAAAAGAGGAAAGGAAGAGGGCAGATCGCGAACGTCTTTAAGAGATTTGGCTCGAGGCCCTGTCGTCGGTCTAACGTGGCAGACGCATCCTCGTCCCCATATACATTTTGGGGCTTCGGAAGCATCAAATGGTTGTCTTCTCAGAAGAATGACTTCTCCAAAGATGGTGATTACTAGAACCTTGATGTCACAAGATGAAAAGTTGTGTAACATATTCAGAAGACAATGCTTGACGATGGGTATGATAAAACACTCATTACATGAGCAAATGTGACAATAGAATAACAATCGGCATTTTCTTATTGATTGATCTAACGTAAATCAAAAGGGTGTTGAAACTGTGTGGACGAGTACCAAGTCCAAATTGGTGATTGGATCTATTAAAACTGGTACATGGTGATGGATAGGGAAATCAGTGGAAGTGTTGGAAAGTCAGAAATATAAAAATGTTTGAAAGCACAAGACCGTGTGTTCTGTAGTATTTAGTACACATATGAAAGTGTCGAGAACATGGCAGAAGGAGACTCACATTGTCAGGGGCGGAGCTCTGGAGGGGCCAAACTGGGCCATGGCCCGCCCACGAATTTAACAAAAAAATATTTTACCTATATGTCGTCTTAGCCCAGCCCACGAACAGTCACAACATCACCGTCCTCTCGTCTCACGCACGAACAGGCACACACATCCCCCAATTCCCCATCCTCTCAGCATGTTAGCCGCCGTGGACATGGAGCACCATCCATTGGAGTGCGACTCCTGCTGTCTTGCGGAGCAACCGCCGGA